GCATTTCCACACTGCTTTAAGCATAATTATAGATATTTTCAATAATTGAATAATGTTTATAAAAAATATTTCAGTTTCCATATCGCATAATATTTGTATCATAATTTTTTTCATGTTTATTGTGCTAAGATTTAGAATTTAGTTTTTGACTAATTTAGAAGCGATCGAAGCATAAAACTTTTCGAAAATATCTATAATTATGCTTAAAGCAGTGTGGAAATGCATTATTTGCTCCATAATTTCAATATCCAATCAAACCGCGGTATGTGCTTGAATCAGCCGAAGCATATCCGGCTGATTCAAAAGCGATATGGAGGAAAGTGAACTCGGAGGTAGAAGAAAAACAATTGCCGATCGCGAGGATGAATATCATGCTCAGCGTTTGAAAACCGTTCTTTCACCAGTTCGGGCGGACCCATTCGCGGAAGGTAATAATTTTGGGTTTTTATTCTGGCTTTTCATCGTTTAAAGGTTTTCTCCATGTGGTGGAATTCGCTTAGCAGGTAGGCAGTAGTAAGACAATCAGTATGGTTTAATTTGCGTAAATGTGTCAGTTTATTATTTTTTTGTTAATTGCGCATTTTACTAACTTTGTGTGACTTCGTGAATAAGGGTTTCATTTCGTGCCTTGCTTACTAACAGGCGATATGACCCCCGATCCAAGACTAAGTACTTACAAGGATGTTATGCTTAATCAGAAGCTTATTCAAGAACAACGAGCACTACGTGCGGAAATAAGTGCGAAGGCTAAGTCGGGAGAATTAAAAGTGGCTGAACCTGCAGCACCTCCACCGCCTGTGAAACGTCGTCGATGGGACCAACCGTCGTCAGACGCTAATGGAAAAGACGCCTCGGCCGCTGGAACACCCCTTCAACCATCAGCCACTCCGAGCAGTGCCGAGACGCCAGGGAGACGTCAGTGGGAGGAGACACCAGGGCGACCGCTAGGAGATGGAGTGTCAGGTGGTGCCACACCTGGGTCGAGGCAGTGGGCTGAAACGCCAGCCTATATACCTACTGCGGCAACGCCTGGTCGTGACGCTTTAGCTGTAAGTTGCTCTTCTTTTTGTGCTCTTGTTTGCATTGCCTGCTCTTGTATATGGCACATTATTATATGGAAATTAGGGTCGCCAGTAGTTCTTTAATTAAACAATTACAAGCTTATTTTCTTCATTTTATTCCGTTTCCCCCTACTTGGTATAATCTTTCACGTCAAATTCTCCTGAACTGTTCTCATGTTTTACCTCTGCTACCCATTAAACAGATTAAATGGACTGCTCAGGACTTGCACGGAGGACGTACATTTTTTGAGGATTTGCATGATGTTCAAACAAAGTTATTTGTTAATGATAAGGCCTTTTGGCATTTGACAGTTGGATATGGCTGTTTAAAGAGCTTAGCGTAAAAGCGTGTTGAATCGTTTGTTGGCATTTTTCGGCTCCTTGTTGTTTGCGGTTTGTGCTAGTTGGAGTCGCACCGACTGACCTGAATTGCGTGGAAATCTTTTAGCTAAGAAATTATAAAGGTCTATATCGTTAGGTTTCGTACAGTTGGTTTTACTTGTTTTGTAATAATTGTATGTATTTAGGACTCGAAATACAGGAATGCCGAGCTCAAAACACTGGTTGGTCAGGAATGATCTATGTTCTTCAGCTCAGTTGAGTCTGAACCATCTCAACTGTGAAAGTGCAGTTTTTTGCAATTAGGCTTCACAGCCTATAGGCTCCTTATTAAGACGCCAAACTGATTTTGGGAATGGTGTATGTATTGTGTAATGTTTTCTATACGACTTGGACTTAATGCCATTACTTTACTAGAACATTTTGGAAATATTGAGACGCATTGGCACTTGAGCACACGATGTCACTCCTTTTTCTCCCTCCTTTGTAGGGAACACCAAGCGCACGCAAAAACCGCTGGGACGAGACCCCCCATTTGGAGCGCTTTGGAGCGGACACACCGGGACACGGAGCAGGCTGGGCAGAGACTCCAAGAGCCGATGGTGGAGTGAACTCTATCCAAGACACACCGTCCACGAATTACAAGGCGTTCGGCCAGACGCCCAACACAGCGGCTGCTGTGATGGCGAGGCGCAAGTCGCGTTGGGATGAGACGCCGAAAGTCGGAGCCACACCTATGGGTGGCATGACTCCTGCAGGTGCCACTCCAAGTGGCTTCACTCCGGCCATGGCCACTCCCGGAATCGCTACTCCTGGTTTGGGATTCACGCCCTCTGGTGCAACTCCCAGTGGCCCCAAGGTGATGGGAATGGCAACGCCAGGATTTGGAATAGCCAGCACAATTCCCGGGACAGGGATTCCAATGACTCCAGAGCAGATGCGAGCTGTGCAGTGGCAGCAGGAGATGGATGATCGTAATCGTCCCTTGACAGATGAGGAGTTGGATGAGATGTTACCTCCTGGCTACAAGATCCTTCCTCCTCCAGCGGGCTATGTACCTCTGCGAACACCAGGTCGTCGATTGCTGGCCACTCCGACTCCTGTTGCTGGAACGCCTTTTGGTTTTCACATGGCAACGCCGGATGTGGGAACAGTGGCGGGAATTGGATCAGCGGCAACTGGTGCGAATGCGGTGGCATTGGGTGATTTGCAGCCAAAGGGCGATAACCTGCCAATGATGCGTCCAGATGACTTGCAATATTTTGACAAGTTGTTGCAGGATGTAGATGAGGATAGTTTGCCACCGGAAGAGGCAACTGAACGCAAAATCATGACTCTGCTGTTGAAGATCAAGAATGGCACACCGCCAATGCGAAAGTCGGCGTTGAGACAGATCACTGATAAGGCGAGGGAGTTTGGTGCCGGTCCCCTCTTCAATCAGATTCTGCCTCTTCTGATGTCACCCACATTAGAGGACCAAGAACGTCATTTGTTGGTTAAGGTTATCGATCGTATATTGTACAAGCTGGATGATTTGGTGCGTCCATATGTGCACAAGATTTTGGTCGTTATAGAGCCCCTTCTGATTGATGAAGACTACTATGCGCGTGTGGAGGGTCGTGAAATTATTTCCAATCTCGCCAAGGTGGGTCAGAGTTATTACTCTTTTCTCTTATAAGTAATATACTTCTCGTCTAATTAGTTTCTTGCTTTCTATAGGCAGCTGGATTGGCGACAATGATATCGACAATGCGTCCAGATATAGACAACGTGGACGAGTATGTGCGAAATACTACGGCTCGTGCGTTTGCAGTTGTGGCGTCGGCTTTAGGCATTCCAAGCCTACTGCCATTCTTGAAGGTTCGTTTCTCACAACGTTTCCCTACTTTTCTCCCTTCTCTAAGTACAGTCTTGGTATCCCAACTAACTTGTTGATTGTTCGCCTCTCCTTATAGGCAGTGTGCAAGTCGAAGAAGTCGTGGCAAGCGAGACACACAGGAATCAAGATAGTGCAGCAGATCTCCATTCTGATGGGCTGCGCCATCTTGCCTCACTTGCGTTCCCTGGTTGAGATCATTGAGCACGGGTTGATTGATGAGCAACAGAAGGTACGCACCATCACAGCACTTGCTCTGGCCGCGTTGGCTGAAGCAGCCACGCCATACGGTATTGAGTCATTTGATTCAGTATTGAAGCCCCTATGGAGAGGTATTCGTAGTCATCGTGGCAAGGGTCTGGCAGCATTCCTCAAAGCGATTGGATACTTAATTCCTCTGATGGATGCAGAGTACGCGAACTATTACACGAGAGAAGTGATGTTGGTTTTGATTCGTGAGTTCCCCTCTCCGGATGAGGAGATGAAGAAGATTGTGTTGAAGGTTGTGAAGCAGTGTTGTGCCACGGAGGGTGTGGAACCTGACTATATTCGAAATGAAATTCTGCCGCCATTCTTCAGGCACTTTTGGAACCAACGCATGGCCCTGGATCGACGTAACTACCGACCGGTAAGTTGCCCTCGCACTAACTAAGGGCTTGTCGTTAATCTTGAGGTCCAGTTGACTTATCGCTTTACTGTTGTTCCTTTTTCCCTTCTTTCCATGCTAGTTGGTAGACACAACGGTGGAGATAGCAGGCAAAGTGGGCGCGGCAGAGATCATCACTCGAATAGTGGACGACTTGAAGGAGGAATCAGAGCAGTATCGTAAGATGGTGATGGAGACGATAGAGAAGGTGATGTCGTCGTTGGGCAGTGAGGAAATCGATGCGAGACTGGAGGAACAGTTGATTGATGGGATTCTCTATGCCTTCCAGGAACAGACCACTGAGGTAGGTCCTTTTTCGGTTAGGGAGACTTAATTGTCATCAGATTGCCCCATTCCTCGCAAATTCAATGGATTATTTTGTTTCTTTTAAAATTTGTAACATGAGCTTAGTAGCTAGGTTATACTTGTCTAAAGTCTGTTGCTTTAATTGGCTTTGCGTGCACCTAATTTTATCCAGCTTAATCTGCACTTTCAAGTAGTTCTTGCTCATTCCTACCTATATTCGAATGCTGTTAATAAGTAACCTTCCATTATTTGTCTTAAATGCATTGTTCATTTCTCGTATGCATTAGTGGACATTGTAATTCTTGTTTTTTATTCATTAGATATTTTGCCAAGGCCATTCTTATGGTCACAATTTTTTGTCTGTTTAGATAGTTTTCGTGCTTATACTCGCTTATACTACGCAATAATCTAGGGGCTTGTTAGCGATATGTTGGAAATAAAATTCGATTGCATTACTGATCTTTGCCTATTCATTGCTCGAGCATTATATGCAAGGGTAATTTATTATATGTGTGGTTTGTCTCATCTTCAAGTTCCAGTCGGCCACTGTATGAGAAATTACATCAGACGTTTTAATCGTTAGTATGTATTAAGTCCACTGTGGTGCATAGATGGTGAGGCATAAAGTGTGATCGAAAGTAGCCTTTTACAGTTTGTTGTGAGATGTGAGTTTGATCAGAAAACGTTAAGCTTTCCATGTTACAGTTGGTAGAGAATGAAGACAATGATTTATGCATGAAATAGAACATTTTTGGACGAGCGTTTTTTGCTTGAAATATGTTAATATTTTTGACTTTGAAGCCGTAATTGTGCCACGTGGTCCACAAACCAATTCTGATGCTTGATAGCAGAGAAAGTGTAAACCTAGAACTGCATGAGTTTATATGTTTGGGCGGTGGTGCTCACCCCTTCTTCATGGCTACAGATCGGTCGGTCAAAATTTGTAGTCAGTACAAATTATTTGAACTTAGGTATATTCTGCAGATATAGCTCTCAATAGATGTGGATTTGCTGATTAATTTTAGATTATCTGAGTTCCCTTCAATATTCATAATTGTGCAGGGTCTTGTGCATTGCAATGTCGACCTGCTTGTTTGAAGTATCGTCTTGGTAGCTAGTCATTAGATTTGTCCTGCCACCATTAATATCAATAGTTATTCAGCTAAGTGGGTTCCCCGTTAATGGTATTCCTCTTCCATTTTAGGATGCTGTTTTGCTGACTGGTTTCGGAACAGTGGTTAACGCGTTGGGAGTGCGAGTGAAGCCCTACTTGCCTCAGATTTGCGGAACCATTCTTTGGCGTCTGAACAATAAGTCGGCGAAGGTGCGCCAGCAGGCAGCCGACTTGATTAGTCGCATCGCGGGAGTGATGAAGATTTGCCAAGAAGAGAAGTTGATGGGCCACTTGGGTGTGGTGCTGTATGAGTATCTCGGTGAGGAGTATCCAGAAGTCCTCGGCTCGATTCTGGGTGCTCTGAAGAGCATCGTGAATGTCATTGGTATGACTAAAATGACCCCTCCCATCAAAGAACTCCTACCCCGATTGACACCCATTCTCAAGAACCGGTGAGAGTTGGGCGTTCTTTCTCGTCTTGCAAATACTGCCTATCTTCTATGAGTAATAATTATTTTCTGCCTTTGTAGACATGAGAAGGTGGAAGAGAATTGTATTGACTTGGTAGGCCGAATAGCAGACCGTGGCTCGGAGTACGTCTCATCTCGAGAGTGGATGCGAATTTGTTTCGAATTGTTGGAGTTGATTAAGGCTCACAAGAAGTCAATTCGTCGTGCTGCAGTGAACACCTTTGGTTACATAGCAAAAGCCATTGGTCCCCACGATGTGTTGGCTACTCTCCTCAACAATTTGAAAGTGCAGGAACGTCAGAACCGAGTTTGCACCACAGTGGCTATCGCTATTGTGGCAGAGACCTGTTCCCCCTTCACAGTGCTGCCAGGACTGATGAATGAGTATCGAGTGCCAGAGTTGAATGTGCAGAATGGTGTGCTCAAGTCACTGGCCTTCATGTTCGAGTACATAGGAGAGATGAGTAAGGACTACATTTACGCAGTGACGCCGTTGCTTGAGGACGCGCTGATGGATAGGGATTTGGTGCATCGACAGACAGCTATGTCAGCTGTGGGTCATATGGCGCTAGGCGTTTACGGATTTGGTTGTGAAGACGCCTTATTGCATCTCCTCAACTACGTCTGGCCGAATGTCTTTGAGACATCGCCTCATGTCATTCAGGCTTTCCTGTGTGCCATAGAAGGCTTCAGAGTGGCATTGGGTCCTAACAAGCTCATTCAATATGTCCTGCAGGGTCTGTACCATCCAGCTCGAAAAGTGCGTGACATAATGTGGAAGGTGTATAATACGATCTACATTGGTAACCAGGATGGTTTAGTCTACGGATTCCCTAGGATTAAAGACGAGGAGAAGAACACATACGTTCGGCATGAATTGGACTACATTCTTTAGTGGTTAAGATTCAAACTCCTTTTTCTGTATTATATTTTACATTGTGTTTCTATTTATTGCCGTGAAAATTTTAAATAAATAGCAAATTTTGTTAATACAACGCTGTTTTATTGAAAATTGTTGTGGTGGTAAATTATTTTACAATCACTAGTATTTGGGCTCGATGCCAGTTGATCGGTAGGTAGCTCGTAATTCTAAATAACGCTTCCGCATTTCTTCTTGGAATTCGGGATCTGAAAGACTAAAGAAGTCGAATAATAGGGGTTGACGTCTTACATTTTTTTGCTGCAGTTCATGGAATCATCAAACATTTTTCGACAAAGAGCCACTGAAGCCCAGTGCCACTTTTTAGAGCATTCTGCAAGTTCTATATTGATAAGAGGTTATCATAAGTTAGTCTGCCAATACCTCCCCATTCTTTGGCACAGTGATTTCTGCGTACGTGTTGCATACATAGAGCGGGTATTAATGTCTCCTTTTCAACATTATTTAGGCGATCATCATCCGGAAAGCCTACAATAGTACAAAATTTCTTTCAAGAAAGTACCCAATCCTAAAGGACCTTCTATTTTTTCTGATGGTAGTACTGCAAAGTCAAGAGTATCACTTTTGAACAGAAAATTGCCCATTAATTTTCTAAAATTAAAAATGTCAACTCTTAAACAAAAAAAATACCATTTATTTGAGAAATACAATAATAATTGGGAGCTTAATAGTCCAATATTAATTATTGATATATAAGACGTCAGATAAAATTTGAAACAAATCAACCAATTTGGGGGAAAATTCGTCACAACTACAAGGCCACTAGAAAAGGTATGACAGCTTTTATCAGAAGCGCCAAATGACACGTGAATCAAAAGCACCAGAGCATGGTCATGTCTTTAAAAGTAATCTCAGTTTAAAAAAAAGTGATGTATTTTTTAAATAAATGTCATAATTTCTATAAAACGGTCAAATGGAGTTACAGCACAATGATTTCAAACTATCTAGGAATTCACTTCATTTAACATTGATACTAAAGGATATTAATTATTCCAAAACGTCTATGCAAAAAGCTGAAATTCAGTTTATTGAATTAATTTAAAACTAATATGTGATATTTAATATTAAGACTGGTGAAGCCAATTTTCAATATCCAATTTGAAAGTGTCAATATATCTCCTATACCTCTTATTGAGAACACAACAACCAAGTTACTCCAAAAGTGTCATTTACTAACATATGCCATAGTTGACATAATTTTTGCACATATCGGTTTTCATTCGTGATCTTAAATAAAATATGTGAGGGTTATGAGGGAAATGCTAAATATAAATGAAAACCATAACTTAAAAGCATTTATAAAGATATAAAATCTATGTCATACAGCTAATGACAAGTAAAAAGTGGAAATTTTTTAAATATTTTTAGAAGAAATTTAAAAATACTATATCTTATTGACAAATACGTTAGAGTGAATGAATTCATAATGGAAATATCTTTATGAACATTTAATTATTTTCTTAAACAATGGGACTACATTATTGGCTTTTAATGATGCGTTATATTATGGCGTTGTCCTTTATTTAGATCAATATTTCCTACTTCTCAACCTTGAATTCGTCCGCACAAATTTAAAAGTTATGGGTTTTGGGTTGGGTCGTCGCATAAGGTCTTTCCTGATTATCTTCTCCGTTACTGCATTAGTATGTGCATCTGAAACAGATAAATGCAAAGCACAGCAGAAAATATTTACAGAGGCTACGAAACATGGCCAACCTATTGATTTTGTACGTTGTTCTTTTCTTTTATTTTCTAGTATTATTTCAAAAATGATACAAAGGAAACTATCCAGCTTACTTGGACTGGCGATTCAACTGGCGTAAGTTGGTTTTAATGCGAAACTTTTCAGATAATCATATTGGTTACAATGAGTGAAAGTGAACAGGGTCTTGGACAGCCATCTGATCTCTATAGAAGGTAATATATAATTTCCTTCTTATTCTGTAGTACTGATAATGGGAAAACTTTCGAAAAAATTACCAAAAATCTTGGTGAAAATATTCACATAAAACGTGAAAACGGTCTGCAGACATGGAAGTCCGCAAAGAATAGAAAAGTATGTATCTGATTGATAATGTGATGGAATTTAGTAAAGATTTACGTTGTATGTCATGATATGCAAAATTTGAATCATACTGTCATTTATTCAACTGCTGATTCCGGTCAAAGTTGGAAGAAATCAATATTGCCTTTCATTCTTAATGGGAAGTTGAAGCTGTTGGTTTTTGATGAAGATTCTTACTCTGTACTTGCTATGGAAGCTAGTACAAAGGTACGTTTGCATTCCCCTGTTTGAATGTTATGCTCTTTCAGACACTCTTCGTCTCTATTGGTGGTGATTCATCGTGGAAACCGGTTCTTCACGATGTCCAAGATTATTTCTGGTCTCGATTTAGTTTTGACCCAAAGAATACCATTTATGCCCTCCATGGGAAAGGCCAAAAGAACCGTTAGTCACACTTTTTATTTCATTAACAAAAATATTGGATCATGAATTTATGCATCATTTATTACAGCCACGTCGAATCGGGATTCTTACGCTTTATCAAAATCCGAAGATGGTGGTGAAACATGGCGAGTTTTGCTGAAAAATGTGCGGAAAATTTGGGCCCCAGAAACCTACACTGATGCAGATGGTGAAGAACCAAAAAACAGGACTGTTGGTCGTTTTCTCTATGCTGCACACTTCCCTGAGGAATATGATGATGGGAAAAATCTACTTAAGCTCAGTGTTTCTGAGAATGGGGGCGACATTTTTCATCACGTCTTTCTTCCTGCTGTTATTTCCGATAGAGTGAGTGGTGATTTTATGATAATATGCTAGATACTGAAAAATAGTAGTTTATAGGAGAAAATATTTTAAATTGTATTGGTGCTAAAGATCAGATTTCTCCTTGTGGGGAGTATGCCAATAACAGAATTCAATTGCCTTTCCTATAAATGTGTTTCTTGACTATTTGCAAGTTGGCTTGGTTTTACTCTGGTTGCCCATTTTAAGAGGCCAGTGCAAGGTATGCATTTCTTCATGGGCTTTTAGATTTTTAATTCGCATCTTCCTTGTTGAATGTCTGCTTCAACAACTTCAGCTAGTTGTTTTTACTATCAACTTCTGAAGAATTTTGAATAGTATCTCGTTTTCTAAGTTGTCTGTTCAGTAGTATCTAAGACTCGATAATACAATAACTGATCAGACTCCGTGTAAATATTTCGATTATGAAAAAATGGTGTAATTAGTATATCTACTAAGTTGATATTAAGAGCTTTACTTGACGAATGGGAAGAAAATGGAGTTCTCGTGATACTTACCACAGTTCTGTCGTTAAATTTTGATTTAGATTTCTGGACAAATTATTTCTTAAATATTTGGCCATGTTAACCAAACTTATAATGCTGTAAGTCTACGCTATCAATAGTCATATCAATGGTATAAGCTGGACACTATATAATTTGATAAATTTAAAGATCTCGGTCCTTAAAAGCGCGAAGATTTTTTTTAATTCGGCTCTTTATTGTTGTTAGTGCTATTATTTGTAGTTTAGTAACCTGTTGAACAGGGCTTCGGTTATACGCATTTTCATTGTCAGTTGTTTCAAATGTTAAATCAATTTCATTAGAAAATGGAAGACACTTGGTTGGTTTGCCGGTTTAATTTTTGGAACCTGACTGGAGCAATTCTTAGATAAGAAGAAGAAAAAAACAACGCTAAGTACTTGAAGGTAGCCCAATCTCTGTTATTAGTACGACTGAGGTGTCAATCACATTAATATGGACAAGTTGTTGTTACTAAATAGGCTAAGGTGAGAAGGCACTCTCATTGAGCAATTTTAAGTGGAGGTTTTCATAGGCTATTTTCATATCCTTCCACTTTGATTGGCGCAGTATCAGTAGTACGGGGGAGAAATTCATTCATTAACCATCAAAAGAAAATATCTGTTTAGTAAAATGCGTTTCAGTTAATATTTTATGACACATTTAGTATAGTTGAATACGATTTTCTCGTTGGAGTGAGACTCCATCCTGTTAGCATTAATAAACACTTGCCTTCACCTTTTTACAATTTTTCTGTCCATTGATTTGAGCAAATGGGTGTGGTGAATAAGGAGAGAATTATAACTTGGAAGTAGGAGCTCGGAACCAAATCCTAGATGAGATATTCAGACACCAATTCTTATGATAAGTCGAACTTGTACTCTCTCTCTCTCCCGTTCTCTGCACATAATTTACTTATTAGGTGACTTGATCTTTACTCACATTTATTAATAATTTATTTCTATTTCTAGTTTTTCAGTGTGCTCGAGATCGAGAGGGACTGTGTGTTTCTTCATGTCGATGAACCTGGAGGTAAGTGTTCTCACATTTCTCATATTCAGCAGCAAAGTATTCCGTTTTCTCACTTTCTCTCTCTCTCCCTCCCTGATGCCGAAGTTACTGATCTTAGTGCTTATCATCTCCATCAGATCGACGCGGTTTTTTGCGCGATACAAACTAATAAACACTCTCTGGCTGTTTAAATCCTTCAGATTTGGGCTAATTTCTAGCATGACATTAGCACGGATTTTATTGCCTCTACCTCTCTTAATCGAAGTCATTTATTATTAAAACGGTGCTTTTACTCAAAAGTACGTGTGTAAATTAAATTCCAGACTTTATGGTATAAAAGGTTTGTAGCAAGGTAGATGAATGCTAGCAGGTAATGGATGGTGATAGTGGGTTTCTTCTGTTCTCATTCTGCGAGTTATACTTCGAACCCCTAAGGGGGATTTAAATTCACACTTTTCCTTCTGTCGTGTAAAGAACGTTTCTACTTCTTTTCTCTTTCCCCTTAAGTGTGTTCCATAAACATTTTCCCTGATATTTAGCCTCGGACCTTAACCTAGCATATGTCATTGGTACGGTTACCTCCGATGTTAGTTTCTAGCTGCTAACTTGCTGAAATGATAATCACGTAATCTTCGTTGATTATGACATTTTCGTGCAACTACTCTATTGGTCAATTTTACAAAGTCGGGTTTCGAGCTCAGGCCATCAGTAAAAATACAGGTTTAGAAAATTGCTTACTTTGCGTCCATAAATATCGAAATAGCTTCGTAGACGCATGCTACTATCTAAAACTTGTTTTATTCGCTGTTTCTAAAGCACAAATTGTCGTCATGTTTTTCGGGTTCAACTTTCAGACTCAAGAGCTCTAGAAAGTTCCTTTGCATCCGCATTCGCAAGTGATGAAGCTATCACCACATCTAGCGAATGAAATGCTCCTACCATATTGTGCAAGATTGTTCAAGAGGTAGGTAGCTTGATGGAAGCCTTTTGTCAGAATGACTCCTGGAAGCCATTCCTCCGGATTTCCTTTAAACGAGTTTGGATCAATTTGCATCAGAACATCCATTCATTTCTATATGTTTGTAGTTCTGGTGGGTGAGAGACTGCTTCTGTTTTAAGTATTCTTGTTGAGCAGTTTGCTACAAGAACTAATGATTCGAACATCGTCAATAAATTGTAGGTATCAACTGTGCCGTTCAGTAGTTTTTTTTGTGAAGCTATCCTGTTTCTGTTATCTAAATGCACATCTACAGTCGAAGAAGTCGGACTTCCTTAGCCACTCAGGAATGCAATAAATGCAAAACAGTCGGTGTTGGAGCTTTACTGGCTGGGTTGTCTTCTTTAATCGTTAAGGTACAATGAAAAACTACCCTCCGAATTATTGTTAACCCACAATTGTCGTCCAATTGGTTGATCGGCGGCTTCCTTTGAGGTTCTTTGTCGTTCGGACTTACCCGTTTCTGTCAGGATGCCTTTAATCACAACATTTACCAGTTGCATTGTAACAGGCAAGCACTGTCACATGCTTGTATGGCAACTTATTTTCCATGCGTGGGAAATTCCTATTTAAAAGTGTTTTTTGTGGTCCTGTATTTGCTTCAAGAGCTTAATAAACTGTTCGATTATGTAGAATTCCCTTCCGGTTCCCTTTATGAAATATGCTCTGTACGATTTGCTGCAACATAGTTCGACTCGTACGCTAATAAGCCTTCGCCAATCACAATAATGACTTGAGCTTGCAATCTTCTGATTGCGATATTAGTGATGTGAATTATAAAAATTAGATAGTCCTATCCGCTCGGATAGGAATCACAAATTCCATCACTTTTCATTTTCATCAATTTTAGTAGGGGCAAGTTTGGCCGGTTCTATTAGTGAATGCGCAGTAATAAGCTATTTTCTCGTGATTGCAGCTAATTTCCTTAACCGGATATGACCAAGGTTATAACTTTATCGGTGCATATTAGTCCGTGTTATTACTACTACTATTATTATTATTATTGTTTTGACGAAATTCTTCCTATCTGAATAAGTGGCGGGTTCCTCGATCTCCCCTCTTGACATAAACGGTTTACCGCTTCTTGTTTATTGTGCGAGATACATGTTATTGTCGAATTCCGCGGTAACAAAGGATATTCTTATTGTGCTCTATTAAGCCTAAAGTCGCTTTCTTCTATGTAATAGCGGAATTGGATATTTTCTGTGTGTAGATTATCTTACTTCTGAGAAATGTGATCTCCATAAGTATGGCCTTTTTTCATTCATTTTCTCAACATTGCCGAGAGTGGCTTTATACAGGTGATTTAAATGTCAAAAGCAGGGTTATTTTGTTGGCATATAATTATTGCCATTTAAAAACCTTTCATAAGCTTTGGAATGAGTGCGATGATGGAGTGAGGAGAAATAGGTATACCAAACTCTAATTTACTCGAAAAATTGTAAATAGTTAGTGTACAAAGCCCGTGTGAATATTGGGTGGAAGCGTTGAGCAAATAGCATGGTGTCGTGTCATTTATTAGTTAGGAAGAATTGGGTTGAGTAAAATTTCTGCATGCAAGTTGGTCTTAAAGTAGTTCCTTTCGGTAAAAATTTTCACTGTGGTGTAGCTATGAAAATGTTTCCTTGTGGGGATTCGAAGTGAGTAATGGAATATACAAGCTCCTCATCAGAACGACTCTTGTATTTCTTTCTTCGGCTCAATCTAATGGCCATTAACGCACTCTCTTTGGGGGGG